CTCAAAAAAAGAGTAGGCAAAGGACCAGGATGTCCTACTTCTGGCGAGATTCTGAAGTAGCCTATATGCATATGATGGACACTTTACTATCCCATGAGGCCACGAGAGAGGACTTGTAGCCTAAATGGCAGTGAAGAGACATAACTGATGCTGGTCGGTCACATGATGACAGCATAGCGAATGTAGTACGTCCAGATACTACACTCATTCATACTATATAGAATATACTTTTAGTAATACTTATTCAAAATAAGTGCCTGCTCAAGAGAGTATGTGATTTCGGATGCAGACAGTCACTTGGCTTGTTTCTGAAATGTAGCAGCGCTTTTGAACAAATCGGCTGAATGAATGATTCAGTGTCTCATAAGACAGTCTTTTTTTTGTTGCTGAAATGTAGTGTTTTTGAACGAATCAGATCAATGATGATTCAGTGACTCATTCCTAAGAATGACCTATACGATAATGTTTTTTTCATCATACATTAAATCCGAAAACATTTGTCCCAGATTTTCAATGTGGACCCCACTATATGTATACATGTACTGTATGTACTTATAGAGCATATACTCTTATAGGTATGTTCTATATTGTATACTACTCCTCAATTTTTATTTAGAGAGCAACATAGATCTGTAGAGATTTGTGCCATAAGCACATATGGAACCTATAGAAAACTCCAAGGTTGATTGGAGAAGGGCATTATTCGTTTACTTGTGGCATGGCTGGGACGCCCTCATATACAGAGCTATAGCAAGTAGCGACTACGCCACCCCAGCATCGAATTAGCTGGAGAAACACCAATTAAGAGCACACAAGTTCAATCTCTTTCCCACAGTCACCAGAGAATGAGGCGTGGATAGGAACAAAATAGGTCTTTATTAGGTGATCATAAATAGTTAAAAAAGAGGACCACTGGTAGCAATATATACCAGAGGTGGCCAACCAGGCCACTGATTTATATATGAGCAGGTTGATCACACGAAGAAACAGAAAAGCAAGATCTCACCACTGTGCTGGGGTGTACCAGTAGTAGGGCAGGCTAAACAGTGGGCTTCAAATCAGCCCACAATGAGTAACCCGTGCACCAAATCTCAAAAGCAAACACACCAGTGAAATCCACTGCAAGAAAACCTACACCACCAGGCACGTGCACAGGTAGGGCTCAACCTGTGCAGAGCACATGCCCTTTTTGCCGAAGTGCCCTTTTTTTTGGTGATGGTGTTTTTTTTGTTTTTGTTTTTTTATTTATATAAATGAATGCTATTGGTCATCCTTTAAGTCTATCTGTCTGTTTTAAAAATATTTAGCCAATGAAAGATCTTAAAAAGAGCTTGTGTAAATCTTGTTCGATCCTCAAATGGTCAGTAAAGCTGATAACTCCGCCCCCTCTATCGTGACTGAATGAACTGAAGCCGGCCGCACAGCAGACAGCAGCTGAACGAAGTTTTGCAAGGGTAAACTAAGATCTTGTTGTTTGAATACGTACTAAACACGTTGTCTATAAAAGCTCATATTTTATTTATTTGATGTCTGACTAAGATATGTGGGACCTGAGAGAGAGGACTATGTGCTAACATTTGCCATAGTCATAGCCAAATACATAGCCTACACTTAAATAGCCTGTGCATACAGCAGCATTTCATTTTTTATAAAATGCGATTTTGACCAAATGTATTTTACAACAGGAAAAACTGAGCGCCTATATAGCTATAACAATCTAGTTGGTAAGCTGTTGATGAAAATGTAATGATGCCGCCGGCGCCGTTTCCATCGGAAAATCATAAGCACATGCGCGCCCCCGCGCTGTTCGTACCGGAACTGACACAAATCGACGAGTGATCCTCGTCACCTACCTAACATATATTTTCTAAGAAATGTGTTCTTTGATTTATGATTGCTGCTGATACACTTAATTTATTAACATTTAATCATGTTATGGTAATAATATTAAATTATGGTTAATTCAAGGCTGGACGTATTCGCTATACTCTCCGGTCGTCCTCACATGTATAAATGTATTAGGCTAAAACATGGTTTTACTACATTAATCTAATGTTGTAGTAGTAACTAAAAAAAAAAAAACATTACAGAAGATCACTGTGAAATCTTTATATTTTATCATCCATAATGTAATTTGTGATTTCATTCATTCCCAGGCTTAATTAATTTGATCCAAAATAAGCAAAAACAGTAATATTGTGAAATATTTTTACAATTTAAAATAACTGTTTTCTATTTGAATATATTTTAAAATGTAATTTATTTCTGTGGTCAAAGCTGACTTCAGTGTCATGTGATCCTTCAGAAATGCTTTTCACTGCAACTGTACTTTTCACACTATTTTATCATTTTTTCATTGCTGGCTTATTTTATGGAAAGTGTAGTGAATAAGAGACCTTCAAGAGACCAACATTGGTCCTCAGTGTCAGGTTTTTGCCATCAACTGCAACTGTAATGAGATCCTTTTCAAAAATGAGGTTAATTAAGAACCAACTCCGAAGCCTTTGCTCAGAGGAGAGAGACTAGACCTTCTCCCCATAGCCATAGAGAGGGACATCACAGTGAAGTCATAAATATCTTCAAGCATGGCTCACAGAAGGTTGCTGTTGTAATATGGTTTAAAGAAGCCTTGAAGCCCTGTATATCTATATTATCTATATTATTATTATTATTATGGTTGTTAATAATAGTGAATAAATCTAAAGCTTTTGAGACTATTTTTTTTTTTGTATTGAATTTGTCATGAAGATGTGACCATTTCCTCCTTTTATGTAGGCTTACTAAATAATCTTGATATTAAAAAAAGGGAGGGGGGTGCCCTTTTTCAGTTTCAGCACATGCCCCTCAAAAGGTCTGTGCACGGCCCTGTACACCACACACTCAAGGGTGGTGATGGTGCAGTGGATAAGACACATGCCTTTGGTGTGAGAGACCCGGGTTCGAGACACCAATGTCTCGAGACACCAATGTGTCCCTGAGCAAGACACTTAAGCAAGACACCTAGTTGCTCCAGAGGCGTGGAGCATATACCTCTGACATATATAGCAATTGTAAATCGCTTTGGATAAAAGCGTCAGCTAAATGAATAAATGTAAATGTAACACTCTAGAAAAAGGAGAATTTCCCTGCACCCTCCAAGGAAAGCTAGCCTGTCTGCTATCACCCCTGGGTCACCCCTGCTCCTAAAAAAAAGAAGAAGAAAACCAATTTATTTAAGGCTCCAAATCTAAAATGTAAGCCAAACCAGAAAAGAAAAACGAATAACACTAAACAAAAAAATCCAAAAATCAATGGTAACGGCATTGAATCAATGTTACAATGTGATGTTGGTTCGACATCATGCTTGCACTCTCAGAAAATGAAACACAACTACTGTAACAGCCTGAAATAAACTGGAAATAAAAGAAGACTACAGGTTTAGATGTTGATGTTTTATTGAAAATATTTGGTCACCATTATGGTGATTAGTGATTGCTTTAGTTGGGCAGTTTGACTCTTAGCCATTTTTTTTAGGTTTTAGTTTGTGTACTTTGTAACAGTGTTTACCAAAACACATAATCTGTTGCAAAGTAAACCACAAACAAAGGTGTTCAGTTGACAGTTTTCAGCATAATTAGAAGTAGAATAAGTCAAATTTTATCCCTGACCAAAAATGTGATATTAATAGATTATATTCACTGACACTTGCAATAGATCAGACAATCGTGAATTTCAATTAAATTAAGTATATTGTAGGATATGTTTTTTTTAGACACACACAGACATCAATAATCAACATATGAATCTCAGCAATACTTCATGTGTCATGATTCTGCCATCATGTCCGTGATTCTCTTAGTATTGCGGCAGGATCATGACAGACCCATGTTCTGTGTGCAAGCACATGGCCTTGTGTTTTGGTCATGTGCTTGTGTTGTCTCGTCTCTTAACCCCGCCCCCTTGTTATCCTGTTTCAGTCATTATTGCTTTACCCGTGTCACCTGTTATGTCTTGATTAGTCTCCTTATTTAATCCCCTTGTGTTTGCTGTCTTGTGTTGGTTCATTGCCAAATGTTACCTGTGAGTACTTTGTGGAGATTATTGTCATTGTGAGCATTTATTAGAATTATTGTCTGTTTATTGTGAAGTCATAGTTTAGTCTTGTCAGCCTAAGAGTCCTTGTCCTGTCCGTGTTTCGCCCCCTCGTGGGTTTTGTTTTCCCTTTTTGTTCATAATAAACCGTGTGCTGTGACTACTGTCTGCGATTGGGTTCATTCCCTTCTTCACCCTTCCAACATCATAACATCATGCATGCTGATTTTATATGCATGCTGATTTTATATGCATGCTGCCCAACTAAATGAATCACTGATCACCATAATGGTGATCAAATATTTTCAATAAAATATCAACATCTAAACTTCTGTTAATTCTCAAAAAGAACTTTTGCTGACATATCTTGCAAGATTAATTGTCTTCTTTTATTTGCAGTTGTTTTCAGGCGGTGTGGCTTTAAGTCAGTTGTAGTTGTGTGCTTCATTTTTTGAGAGTGCAAGAAGCATGATGTTGAACCAACATCACATTGTAAAATGGATTCAATGACATTACCATTGATTTTTGGATGAAATTAAAAAAATATATATATTCAACAATAATTGCGGGTGCAAAAGTGATGTTGATTCAATGCAGTTAACATTGACACATTAACATTTATTTAACATTATTTCAATTGTTGCTTGCTATCTGGGACCCAAATCAAACACACCTGAACCAGCTAATCTATGTCTTCAGGATTACTAGAAAGCAAAAGGCAGGAGAGTTTATCAGGGTTGGAGCTAAACTCTGCAGGACAGTGGCCCTCCAGGACCGAGCTTGGAGACCCCGGCTCTATACTGCTCGGTTAATAATCATGGGGCGGAGCTATCCGTAAACGCACTTCACTACATACTGAAAGTGAAACTGAATGTTGTCAGAGAAAGAAATTAGGTGTGGTAGTGACAGTAAAGACAGTACCAACCAATGAGAGAGAGAGAGAGCGAGCAGAAGAAAGAGAAGAAAAATATAACTCCGGTCACCATCAAAGCTAATTCAAGGTAAGCTTGAACAAGTATTATACTGTCTTATAATCAACCTTCTTATAATTTGGAATGTACGACTATTGTATTGAAGGGGAAAATATCAAAGCAAGCAGCATATAGGTAAAAGATGGCATAAGCATACTTAACATAACATTTATCTGATGCAATGACATATGGCTTAAGAGTCTAAATATGTTTGGGGACCATTGTAAATGTTTAAATTTTACTTTTAATATTGCATTCAAATGTCTCCATGTATATCCTAACTGACTTCTCTGGTGGTATGACAACAAAACAATAAAAAAAAAAAAAATTATTTACCTTTATTTTTACCAGGAAGTCTCATTGAGATTAAAATCTCTTTTACAAGAGGGATTTTTAGGGAATTTTAAAAAGGGGAATAGAAAACCGCACTGCTTAGTTGTATTCCAAGTACTACATGCTTCTATGCTGATGGGTTTCACTTGCATTTCTTCCTTTTTTTGGAAATTTTAATGGATGCATGCAAACACGCAATAACCCTTGCATGATTGGTACTATGAACAGTGATAAAGCTGCCGTGTTGCTGTAATGTTTCATATTTATGATTCTTTGTATGCGTCACAGTAATTTCTGTGGTTACATTTGGAAATAGGAAAAAAAACAATTCAGCAGGTGCTGTGAATCTCACCCACTTGTGGTTTTGTCTTCCGTGTGTGGGTTAATTTTTCTGTTGGTCTAGGCGAAATGCATAGAGCTCCACTAGTACCTGTATCCAAACGAAGCTTTAGGGCAAAGTGGTGGAATAAGGAGTGGCATTCATCATCGTAAAACCTGCTATTCCTGTAAATCCACTGAATACGATGTATTCTCGTGCACAGCTGTACAAAACGCATGAGGAAAAAAAAAACATTCCAAAACAGGAACCAATGCAGAACTGGAAATAAGTGATTTCATATTCATATTCATAAAATTATAGCACAATAGATATAGATCACTGGAGTCATCAACTGGAGTTTTCAACGGGAGTCTAATAGCATCTATAATGTCAAACCGTACATACACTTTTTTTATCCGAGGCTCCTGTCGGTGCAGGTTGTTGCGGTCGGCCCCCTTAAAAAAAACCTGTTCCTTTGGCTCGGGTGAAATTGCATTCCTGGTCCACCTCGGTCTACATCACGGGGCCACCCTAAGGCCTGGGGCCCCTAGAATCGTCAACACCTTTCACCCTGTTAGGGGAATTCTGTTATGCACAAATATTTTTTATGAAAATAATGAACATTTCCACCTTATGTGGAATTATTATTAATTATGTATTAATTTTAAAAAGCATTGGGTCTCATTCATGAAACATTCGTAAATATACGAGTAAATATGCTAGTGATTTGCGTGTAAAGAGACCTTCCCGAAAACTCTTCTCCTGATTCACAAATACTTCGTAAACGTCTGATGTGATAGTGAAATGTGTGTGTGTGTGTGTGTGTGTTAATGAATTTCAATCAGTCGTAAATGGGATGCGCGTGCACGTTCATTCTCAATTACCATAAATCCCGCCCATTAAATCCGACTGACAACTATATATGGGCATCATATTATGACATGAATGCGAATGAAAAAAAAAAAATTCTCAGATGCAGAAATTTAAGTTTTGTTATCAGAAGTTCATTTAAAACGCCACATTTTATTTTCAAGCGTACATAGTGGCGTATCGGGTCCTAAAAAAAAAGGAAGCTTGGCAGCATATTACAGATGCAATTAATGGAGTTTCATCTGTTAATCGAACAGTCCCAGAAGTGAGAAGAAAATGGTTCGACACTAAGCTTGAGAGCAAAAAACGAATTAGTTCACTTCGGAAAAATAGTATTCAAACTGGAGAAGGACCACCATTGCAGATGCTATTACTGGCTCTCATAATAAGAAAAACCGTATGCAACTATGTATAATATTTTTTCAAAATGCTGTGCAAATATGTACCGGATTAAGGTGAATTAAAATGCAGCCTTATTAATGAGCAAAACGTTCGGGTGTTAAGCGCACTATTTACGCGTGGCTGGGAGCAGGTGTGGATTTATTGTGTACCAACTAACATTTGGAAAATACGAACATTTTAATGAATCCAAAAATTTACGCCAGAACCACTTTACACACGATTTACACAAAAATTCGTTCTGCTCGTGTTTCATGAATGAGACCCAATCTGTGGTGAATGCACGTCCGATTTTGCAAAGTTAGACTTGTTCCTGGGTCAACATATTTGGTTGACCCTGGAACAACATTCCTGTCTGAAAATGTAATCCTAACCCCATCCCTATACCCCTAAACCTAACCCTGCTATACTCATAAATTATCCCTAAAATCAGAGGGAAATGACTTGTGAATAAGACTGATGTAGAAGCACCTAACCCTGGTTGTAAGCCTGAACTTGACATAGGGCCCTATCATTCACCCGGCGCAATGTAGTGCTAGGCGCTATGCAAGTGTTTTTTGCTAGTTTCAGCCCGACGCAGTTATCATTTTCACGTCCTGCGCCGCCTTGTTTAAATAGCAAATCCGCCCATTTATGCGTCCATGGGTGAGCTGGTCTGAAACTGAGGTGTGTTCAGGCTCATTGATGGAACGTTGCTATTTTGAGGCAACTGAAATAGACTGCACCATTGACCAACAAAAACCTGGTCTAAAGTCAATGGTGCAAGATTTGTTTTGTTATTTAAAGAGTGTGTTAGTAATATGCGCCTATAGGTGGGTCCACAACGCGCGTACACTTTGTCCCGTAGATGAGGAAACAGATCCGTTTCCTCACTAGAGAAGCGTTCAGTTTTTCCGGCTTGCAAATTACACCATGTAAATAGCGTATCCGCCATGGCGCGAACACAACTGGCTTTTAAATAGAATGGGGGATGAGACTCTGATTGGTTTATTGCGTAATACGCCCAAAACACACCTATTACTCATTAAGAGAATATGGGCAACCCTTTTAGACTATGCGCCAGTGCGGCAACCATTTTTCCCGTCGTTAAACTAGCAAAAGTGGATTCGGACTCACCCTAAGTGCACTTGCGCCGTGCGCTTTAGACCATGTGCTTAGATCGTTGAAATAGGGCCCATAAACAGTAAACTTGTCCCTCAAATCTGATTGGTTGATTGGAATGTTTGGTTCTGCGAGGTGAATTCACACTGATGAAATGACATTTGGAAAAAGCTTGGGAAAAAATGGTCTACTCTTTTGTCCTGCTATGGCTAATTTCATTTTAGATATGTTTTATTAACAAAGTTCAGGAGGAGCACGTTCAGATAACTAACACTGGAGGAGCACATTCAGTCAATCAACTCAATTAACGAGATAAGAGGTGTACAGCAGACTTACTTCTGTTCCATGACAGTTTTCCAGCATTCCTCCACCACCCCATCTCCTCACTTCTAACTATTCATATCCCAACTTGGGATGCGGGGAATACTTTGGGTTCGGGCCAAATTCCGAGCTCATAGTCCTCCCCTAGGACAGCACTCCAAATACGCATATCCTTTACTCTATTTAATTATGAGTGAAGTTAAAAAACAAACAAAAAAAAAAAACATAATTTTTACAAATTTGGAGCTTGTTGAAAATGACTATACAAATATAAAAATTCATAATGGTCTCATATTTATCTCAAGCTCTGCGCTGACACTGTTGTCTCCTTGGCAAACAAGTGCACTAACTTTAGGGGCAAAATCATTGGGTGTGATGGACATTATGTCACAACAGTGGGAAAGCCATACATATGTCTAAACTGTGAATGTGATGTGTTCAGATGTTTGGTGTGATTGGAGAGGATGGTCTCGTCCCCAGAGCGCGCAGCTGGCTGCCGGTGGCGTGTGAAGCTGTACTGGGGCTTCTTACACTGGTGTTTGTGTGGCTGCTGGACGCTGACAGGTTCATGGAGAGAGCAGAAATGATCGCTTTTAGCCTCACAGTGGCAGCGTTTATTCACAGTATGTGTTTGTTTGCAGAGGAGTGGTTCTTCCATGCAAGGCAAAGGTTTGAAACCAATGGAATAAGATTTAGTCTGGTATGAAACTGTTTTTTGTATTGTTTCAGGAAAATGTGCTCTTTTCCAGGTATCACGGCAGAATAAATGAGATCCTCCAGGCCTGCTTTAAAGGAGATGTCATTCTGGGAATGTGTGCAATAGTCCTGATGCTAATGTTTGGTGGCGTTTCATTCTCTCGCGAACATTGGAGCACCATGGCCATCATGTGTGCCGTTTACCTGCTGCTCAACAGCCTGGGGGTGCAGGTAAGATTTATCCCATGCCAGGAGAACAATATCCATGTCCAAATCAAAAATATTTCTGAGAATTGTGGTAGATTTTTCCCCACGCACCTGACTTCGTTTACCTGGGTCGTCTCCTAATCGACTTCTCTAAATCGATTTCCTAATCGATCTTCTGATCGACGTTCAATAATATTTATTGATAATATTTACTGTGCAGCAGTAACCATAGACTCCAGCAGGGGCGTGGTACCGGGGGGAAAAAGCCCAGGGCCCGAGGCAGGGGGGGAGGGGGGATTTGGGCCTTAGAAGTCGCCGAGCTCAAGTCAAAAGTCCGCCCCCTTAGTGGGAATTATTTAATGAGGAATATTGTGACGTGTTCGTTCCTGAAGCAAAACGCTCCTAGAACTTATTTTTGTTAGCTATGATATTCAATATGAGTTCAACTGGTTCAGTTACTTTGATGCCAAAGGAATAGTATGCAATGTGTGGTACTTTCCTGTTATCCGGACCCCACCATATACCATTTCGGAACTATAGTCATCCCTGATTGGTCTTAACCCTAGTGACGGGTAGGTTTAGGGGCGGGGTTAGGGGTAGGCCATTGTCCCTGATTGGTCTTAACCCCAGTGACGGGTAGGTTTAGGGGCAATGATTCAAATTTACAGTGGTTTTCAAGTGGCCGAGTCTAGATAAGTATCTTCAAAAATATCAGATAATCACATTCAAATATCAGAGACAAATAGCATGGTACTAGCATTCTACACGCACTGTCATTTCTGTCACATAAAGACATTGGCCATTACCAGATTTCAAGTATATGGGCCTGACTCAATACCCAGACTCGAGGTCTTTGCTTGACACTTACATGACATGACATATTTTTCTGTATTTGGCCAAAGTGTTCTAGTGGGTGTGAAGTCATAAAGTGTTTTTATAACCTTTAGTTACCCAACAGGATTCACACTTACATCAATGTGTTGTATAAATTCATTTTAGTAATTTTTAGTCATTCTAAAGGTTCTGTCTCTATGCACAAGCATCTCACTCAATTTCAATGATAATTCATTGCCATTACAAACAATTATGTGTTTGTACTGCAACTTTGCTATGGACGATTAAAAGTAGCGCAAGTCAAATAAAACAATAATAACAAATCTTTTAAAGAAATAATAACAGATCTCTCTGTTTGATTTTCAGTTCTCTTATATTTCTGTGTTTGCAGGGCCCTACTCCGGTGGAGATCTCAGAAATCTGTGAAGTGAAGAAGATGAACGTGGCTCATGGTTTGGCCTGGTCTTTCTATATCGGCTACCTCAAATTGATCCTTCCAGGTACATTTGTTTGCAGTGCACATGTGAGCCACTGCTTGCTGAAGCCTCTAGAGGGCAGTAATGACGCACTGCGATGTGTGCATGAAAATATATTCTATTTGGAAGAACGTTTGTTCACAAGTTTGAGAGAACCTTGCCAGAACGTTATCCAAAGTTCCAGTTAGCTGGGAAGCTCAAAAAAGGACAAAAACTACACTGAAATTTCTCCATATGACTCTTGCACAATATTCCAAGTCTACTGAAGCCATATGATGAGTTTTGACTTACTAACAGACCTCATTTTACTTTGAAAATCTTTCAATTTGCCATAGCTCTCAAATATTATTCACATGTCCACATATTCAAACATGGTGTGTTGCGTTTGGTCATAACAAGGCAAGTTTAGTATGTGCATACATCATGATATAAGTGAATATGAGTGAATTGTGGTGTTTTTGGTTGTGGAGCATGGCAGCCCCTGATCTCTTAATGCTTTCATTTGGAAATGTGCAGTGTGAATATTCTTTATATTTTTTTTGTTGTGGTCATACAAGCATATAATGACTTGAGAATGCATAAACGACGACCCTGAGCTCCAACCTGTAAAACCACTTGATCATTTGTAGAGATTCTGCTCCCTTTTCATTTCCCTTTTATGTTCTTTAACTTGCAGTTTTACAAAACAAAATCAACCAATATTCCTCCACGGGGGCGAGACTAAGCTCTCCACGTCTACATATCCTTCTGCCCCTCAACGCCGTGGTCCCAAGCAAACCTGAAGAGGAGGACACTAATGTGGTCTTCCACGAGAACCTTCCAGAACTGGAGTTGGACATAGCAGGTGTGCGGAATCGTAGCTACAAGAACAGCGTCTACAAGATCACCCAGAACAACAAAGTGGGATAATGCTAATTACTGATCATTTTAGTTCTTTGATACTGGAATTAGTCCTGTACGTTTTCAGAAAAAGCTTAAATATGATATGAAGAGCTAGCATTTAAGATGGTGTTTTACTTTGATTGAGAGAAGAGCTATGTTGCATGCCAATGCATATGCTTCTGTCGTAGATTTTTTCCCTAAACCTGACTACCTACCAATAATACTTATACTCCAGTCGACTACAGCATCAGCTCCCTACCTATACTTCAGCGAGTCTCCAAACGACTACAGCATCCGTCTAATCCTATAGACCTTATTCGCAAACACCGGAAGTAGTTACTCCTACTCTAAATACTCCTAGTTTTCTTGCTTACTTGCTGACTAACTTACTTGCTGACCTGCTGCGCAGCAGTAATAACAGACAGACCTCAGCAGATGTCCTCTAAATGCTTTAATTACGGCCGGGAGATCTTTTCCGAGCAGTTCCGAGCAGCCGGTGGATCTCAGACACATTCCATTGAGAATCCCACCAGTTTACACGAATAAAGCAGTTTTTATAGAATAGGGGTATGGCAAAATGACATGATACCTTGTGATTATGATGTAATGAAGAACCAATCAAATTGTAGGGAAATTATGTAATTATGTAAATTTCAAACCTAGACATCTGTCTAGTTTCATTTCCCATATATGTTATTTATACATTTCATACACTCACACACACTCAAAGTCAAAGGAGTATGGCAACACAACATACAATATTGAAAAACACAGGACAGAACGTTTTAGTGCATTGATTTAGAATTGAAAGCCTGTTAGGCCTAAAAGCGAAGTAAGGTTAGTTGTTAGAAACATGGTTAGTTTAATATACAGTTTAAAATTTCCATCACACTTCTTGTCTGTAATTCTCTGTTGTTGAGAAAGTAAATACTTTTAAGTATGTGGTATGGCAGTATGCCAGTATTAAAGGTGCAATAAGCAATTTTTGAGAAACGCTGTTGAAAGTGTATCGACCAAGCAGCACAACACACTTGTAGCCAATCAGCAGTAGGGGGGCGTGTCCACTCATGATGGGGGAGGAGAGAGAGTGAGCAAGAGGGAGATTCGAACTGAGAAAGACTGTAGAAAGAGAGATGGCTGAGAGACATTACAAAAGAGAAAGGGTCAGAGGAATATCAAATACGGTTATAGGTATGGGTTGTTGGAAATAAGGGTTATGATCAGGCCAGAGCTTTAATCACACGTTAACACTAGAAAAGCTTTCCCGTGCTTAAGTGGGACGGCCTGAAAACGGACGACGAGGTCTCATTGATTTTGAGGTTGCAATGCCGGTTTTGCTATGTTCACACAACCAAGATATGGTGTTGTAATGTTAGCTATAGTAACAGGACAGTTTTGAGTATCATTGGTGTGCTGTTGGCAACTAACAACCAACTATTGCTTGTATATACTCTTGTGTACTGTATGTTCCTTTTTTGTTCTTCCTTGTCGTTTGTTTATTACCTTCGCTTTATTTTTTCGCAAAGCATTATTTTGCTTCGCTTCAGTTAAAGAGACATCCACTCTTGCATTGTGTGTTTGTGCATTTTGGGGGAAGAGCAAGAGGCGTGTTTGTTTGGGTTGATTTCAAATATATACTTGAATGAATTGGTTTCTATTTTCTGTTTAAGAAAACTTTTTAATCTAAAGTTTTTTTTTAGATGCTTGAATTAACTTTTGAAGACAAATATTAATTGTCCCTAAAACAAAAATGAATTGCCTTAAAAAGTACCATTACTTAACTTTTCATAATTCAACTGTGAAATCTAATGTTTAATCTTGCATTCCTCACCGATGGAAAATATCTAAAGCAAGAGTGATTAGCAATTTTAGCTAGATTACACTTAGAAAAAAAGTTTCATGTGGTTCTACTTTATGCAAAAAAGGTTCAACCGTATATAAGTAGAATGATTGCATAATACTTTTTCAAATTTCTCTAGAGAAAAAGTATGTTTACAAGCTGCTTAATTCATTACATTTAATTAAAATTATAACTAAATAAAACTAAATTAATAAATTAATATTAAAACTATAAAATGATGATGGGACCCTATAAGGTATGAAATGCCTGCCTGGCAGAACCTTCTCTTCTAATAGTGTATGCATGCACACATTAAGATATTTAGAAAATCTACCATAAGTATACCATTCAGGCATTACTGTCACACGTTTTCAATGAACTGCATATATAGCATAGATAGTATGATAGATAATATGCAAATTGGGATGCAGGGCAACACAACATTTAGCTGTCAAAACAGCATCTCCTTGTGGTTAAAAGCTGTACCGGCACTGAACTTAAATGCAAGGTCCTACCTTCTCTGTGTTTCTATTCCTAGACTTTTAGCTGTGTTCTGGAATATGCCACACCGCTGCGGACGCTGTATCAGATGTCCCAGGAGAGCAGCGCATGCTTTGGAGAAAGAGAACGAAAACAGCAGGTCTTGCTGTTCTACAGAACCCTCAGCCAAATTCTGGACAATTCTCTAGAGTGCCGAAACCGTTACCGGCTCCTCCTGCTCAACGGTGAGAAATCCCATTCAGATCAAGAAAATGAGCAAGGGTTTTAATGCCCGGTTTCACAGACCAAACTTAAGCCTAGTCTCAGAAACTAAAACTGATGTTTGAGCTGTTTTAACTGAAAGCAACTTGCACTGATATATTTTAAAATAGGTCAGCCATTGTTTTGTCTCAAGATGCACACCAGTAATGATTTTTCTAAGGCATGTTTAAATGCCCTAATTGAACTAAAGCCTAATGTGAAACCAGGCCTAAGAGTCTTGTCCTGGAAATGTTCAAAATACAACCTTTTAGAGTTTTAAAAGCTTATTTGGATGTTATTCTTGCAGTTTTCTCCTATAGTTCATCTCAGTGTCCGTAATGCTGATTTGATACATCTGTTTTTCAGATGAGCACACAGGTGACCCTCATCAGCTCTCCAGAGAGATCATCCAGCACCTGAAACAGCAGGACGGAGAGATTCACATGGACCCCATCCGAGAGCCACCAAATGAAGCCTATCCAGTTCCAGAAGAGGGTCAGATTGGGGATTTTAATGGTGCGCTGTTTGCCGCTTTCCCAGAAGGCCAAATGAGCAGCGCACCCAGCCTCATGTTCAGCCTACCTCAATCACTAAGATCCGAACCAGTGGAGACGACTGATTATTAGCAGTATTAACAGGAGATGCGTGCTCTGCGTGATTTCTTGGTTGCTTGTGTTCAGTAATTACTTAATAGACTTTAACGTAATAATAGGAAAGAATTTATTAAAACAGCTGTTATTTATATATGTTTTTCTCTTTCCTTTCTTGCAATACTCATGCACACTTTCAGTGAGAAATATCTGCCGACACAGAACACACCCGATAGTGCTCATGCCACTTTTACAGGTCAGGTATTGCTAATAAATTGCTCTAATTACACACCTGAGACCAGTGTTATTTTAGGATCATTGATATACTTTTTGTTAATATTTTCTGAATTAGATTTTATTTTTAGATTTTCTGGTTTCACTTTAATTTTAGTTAAAGTTTTAGTAAGTTAAGTGAGTTTTAGTGATTTATATATATATATATATATATATATATATATATATATATATATATATAGTTTTATTAATTTTTATTATTAGGTCTACTTTATTTAGTTTGAGTTTAATTTTAGCTCTTCAAGTGAAACTAAACAAAAATGAGAAATGCTAACTAGTTGAAGTAAAACAAGGTTACGATTTTTTATATTTTATTTAAAATAACGTTTAATTAATTTCAAGTTATGGAAATGTTTTTATTTTGGGTTTGGTTTTAGTTTTAGTTAACCCTCTGGTGCTGTTCGATAATTTTTGGCCGAAAAATGTTACGTTTAGTTTTTTTAGAATCGGAATGTTATAAAACTTGGTAAAGGTTTTGGTACTTGCTTTTGTGAACACACACACACACACACACACACACACACACACACACAAACAAAATCATGGACATGATTCGAAAAGGTTAAATGTTCCTGAAAAAAATAGTCAGACTTATTGTTTGCGGTCAAAAATTACCGCATTGGAAATTAATGGGAGACAAATTTCATCTAGTGATGAAAATATTTGAGAATGGAGAAATGATACTGATCAGTGTCAAGAACTACAATTAGTACTCATTCCATAACAAAAACTTAAGAAATTGAATACGTTAAACATAATTAACAATTGCGAAGTGAGGAAAGTTAAAGCAAAGAGAGTAAATATTAAAATAAAGTATTATTTTGTGTGATTATCATAAACTGTTAGTGTTATGTTTGAATTTAGGGGCTTCAATAAATAAATATATTAAAACATATATATAATATAATAAAATTATATATATATATATATATACACTCACCTAAAGGATTAGGAACACCATACTAATACTGTGTTTGACCCCCTTTCGCCTTCAGAACTGCCTTAATTCTACGTGGCATTGATTCAACAAGGTGCTGAAAGCATTCCTTAGAAATGTTGGCCCATATTGATAGGATAGCATCTTGCAGTTGATGGAGATTTGTGGGATGCACATCCAGGGCACGAAGCTCCCGTTCCACCACATCCCAAAGATGCTCTATTGGGTTGAGATCTGGTGACTGTGGGGGCCATTTTAGTACAGTGAACTCATTGTCATGTTCAAGAAACCAATTTGAAATGATTCGAGCTTTGTGACATGGTGCATTATCCTGCTGGAAGTAGCCATCAGAGGATGGGTACATGGTGGCCATAAAGGGATGGACATGGTCAGAAACAATGCTCAGGTAGGCGGTGGCATTTAAACGATGCCCAATTAGCACTAAGGGGCCTAAAGTGTGCCAAGAAAACATCCCCCACACCATTACACCACCACCACCAGCCTGCACAGTGGTAACAAGGCATGATGGATCCATGTTCTCATTCTGTTTACGCCAAATTCTGACTCTACCATCTGAATATCTCAACAGAAATCGAGACTCATCAGACCAGGCAACATTTTTCCAGTCTTCAACTGTCCAATTTTGGTGAGCTCTTGCAAATTGTAGCCTCTTTTTCCTATTTGTAGTGGAGATGAGTGGTACCCGGTGGGGTCTTCTGCTGTTGTAGCCCATCCGCCTCAAGGTTGTGCGTGTTGTGGCTTCACAAATGCTTTGCTGCATACCTCGGTTGTAACGAGTGGTTATTTCAGTCAAAGTTGCTCTTCTATCAGCTTGAATCAGTCGGCCCATTCTCCTCTGACCTCTAGCATCAACAAGGCATTTTCGCCCACAGGACTGCCGCATACTGGATGTTTTTCCCTTTTCACACCATTCTTTGTAAACCCTAGAAATGGTTGTGCGTGAAAATCCCAGTAACTGAGCAGATTGTGAAATACTCAGACCGGCCCGTCTGGCACCAACAGCCATGCCACGCTCAAAATTGCTTAAATCCCCTTTCTTTCCCATTCTGACATTCAGTTTGGAGTTCAGGAGATTGTCTTGACCAGGACCACACCCCTAAATGCATTGAAGCAACTGCCATGTGATTGGTTGATTAGATAATTGCATTAATGAGAAATTGAACAGGTGTGACTAATAATCCTTTAGATGAGTGTATATATGTAAACCTCGTAGTTTAACCTATTTTAATAATAATAATAATATTTATTTATATATTTATTTATTCATTTATTTAATATAACATTTTAAATACATTTTCACACACAATTCATTGGAGTGTAATCAAAATGAATCAGTTTGTCAATCCACCAATGAAATGACATCAGCTCAGCTGTCGAAACCTGATGGACTAGTTTGCTCAGCTGAGTTGCTCAGCTTCATTCACTTTAGTGTAAGGGCTTTAGAGTGTCATTTCAAAATGTTAAAATTAGCTCTAAAAAGATTTGTTAAAGAAATTAAAATAAATGATCGCCTATACAGAAATGGTAAGATTTCCAATGAAAGGTGTTTCCTTATTACTGAATAAAATGACTATTCTCAATAAATGTTGTTGGAAAATTCCTTGCTTCTTCCAGTGAACAGCTTTCCTCTGATTGGCTGCATTATTTTCCATGTCCTGTGGCAGAACAATTACACTGAATGAGAGAAACACGTTTAAACAAGTCCTGGTGACGTGGCGGAGGTGATTCGTAACACTGGGAATATTCAAACTAAATCACTACACTGCTTGTCTATGACTAATATAGTTTAATTATCTAACTTTTATCCACAGATCAGTTGATAGCTAATTTTAACATTTTGAAATGACTCTAAAGCCCTTACACTAAAGTGAACTCAGCTGAGCAAACTAGTCCATCAGGTTTCGACAGCTGAGCTGATGTCATTTCATTGGTGGATTGACAAACTGATTCATTTTGATTACACTCAGACTGATATCAATTTCCAATGAATTGTGTGTGAAAATGTATTTAAAATGTTATATTAAATAAATGAATATATAAATAAATATTCTTATTATTATAGGTTAAACTAAGATAATTACATATATATATATATATATATATATATATATAATTTTATTATATTTATTATATTATATATATGTTTTAATGTATTTATTTATTGAAGCCCCTATAAATTCAAACATAACACTAACAGATTTCCTTCTATATTAATTTTATGCAAAATCACACAAAATAATACTTCATTTTAATATTTACTCTCTTTGCTTGAGACTTTCCTCACTTTGCTCGCAATTGTTAATTATGTCTAACTTATTCCATTTCTTAAGTTTTTGTGTACTAGTTGACTAGTTCTTGAAACTATAATCATATTTCTCCATTCTCAAATATTTTGATTGAACTGTAAATATAGTAGGCTAATTATACCTTAAAAGTATTTATTTATTTAACCAGGAAGGTCCCATTGAGATATCTCTTTTACATGGTCAAATACTTTCTTTTCATGAAAACCACTTAAATAACAGATTAACCTGTGGATTTGTAGGCAATTATTGTGATATCTCCACCTCAAACAATCACATAAATGATATTCAGAGATTGTATTAAGGTGTAATTATTTATTATTGTCATATTTAGCCTACAAAAATGTAGCCTATATTCTCAGTATTGACTGCGGGTTTTCCCATGAATCAATACTCTCCATCTCAGCAGCTGATTGAGACGACACGTCCATCAGGTTTTGCTTTGACACTGATGGATGAACTATCACGAGTTTAAATCAAAATCAACAAAGACTGATCTGACGCTCCTCTCATTGCTTTGCTGAGGAGCCGTGAAATGGAAAGAAGGAATAAGCTAAATAAATTGTTGACTTTGTTGGAGGTCACATGAATGTATTTTACTAACAGCTGATTCAGTAAAGACACACAATCACATTTTGCACATGCAATCACATTATGAAAACCCTCCACGGTCAAAGGTTTCATTAGTTCTTCCTTCCTTGTTGGCCCACTCAGGAGATTTATGGTTCACTTATTCTTTCCTCATTTACATAACGTGTCGAATGGTTCTAAAGAAGTCTCATCTACTTCCTCGTTCTAATATCGTAAGATGGTTTTTCATTTCTTCAGTGGTGCAGTGTGACGTCACAGCAACGACCGGTTGGTTAATGACAGAGAACAAAGGTGAGGTCACGAGGAAAAGTCCCTCATCGTGACTCAGAGACAGACAGACGGCAAACACACAGAAGCTGATGATTTCAGACATGACTGTAAAAGCTCTTCCTAGATCAGCAAATCAGACAGACTTTAGTCACACATCTATTTCATTTGGAATTAATGAAATCAAACTCAGAAACAAACTGATTGCCATGAAAAATAATCTAATTTTAAAGTTTTACATTTAGCAAATTTCAAAAAGCAGGAGTTTGCATTTATTAAATCAAATTTTACGTCTTAGAAATATTTCGATTTTAAAGAGTGATTGCAAGAGGTGTAGAAATGTTTTCTGGGTTAAAGGAGCATTTCACTCTTAAAGGGATAGTTCACTCAAAAATGAAAATTCTGTTATAATTTACTAAGTTGTTCCAAACCTGTATGGATTTCTTTCTTCTTCTGAACACATAAGAAGATATTTTGAAAAATGTCAGTAACCAAAGAGTTAATGAGCCCCCATTAACTTCCATAGTATGGAAAAAAATACTATGGAAGTCAATGGGATTGTTTGGTTACCGCCATTTTTCTAAATATCTTCTTATGTGTGCAGCAAACTAAAGAAATTCATACAGGTTTGGAACAACTTGTAAATGATGACAGAATTAAAACAATTTAAGTGAACTATCCCTTTAAGAGTGCTTCTTTGACAGGCCAGAACTGGATTTTACTGACCGCATTGTTTGTCTTCCTGGTCATGTGAGTCTCACCTGTGAATAATCTCATTTTATCTCACACTCTCTGAATCACTTTCTATTTCACAGTGCATCCTCCTTCTGTCCACCAGCATTTCGCATGTGTGATATCAGAACAATTTGAGTCATCTGACACAATAATTCAAAGATATAAAGTCATTTATGTGTATTTACAAGTCGCTAAGCTTTACTCTAAATGTCTTTGTCTCATCATTAGCATAATCATTTTTGTTTTGTTTCAGTGTGTAACTCCAAATGGCAAAGTGTCTCAAACATTGCTAAAATATTTCCAGAATTATCTGCTAAAATGAAAGTAGTTTAGACATGTCTATGACCTTATGTCAATTGAGAAACATGTAAAAAATATATATATATTTTTAAATATATTTTATATATATATATAATTTTGTAATGAGAAATAGCCTAGTGATCAGTCATCTAAACATTACATAATATAAATGCATACAATTATTTGTATGTATAATACAATAGGCTACAATATAATATAATAATATATTATATTATATAATTTAATATAATACACTCTTAAAAATAAAGGTTCTTTATTGGAATCTATTGTTTCATGGAGAACCTTAAAGGGTTCTTAAGATTATTAAAATGTTCTTCACACTAAGAAAAAAATGGTTCTTTAAAGAACTGATAACTGAAATGTTCTTTATGGAACCCAAATTGTTTCATGGCATCATTGCAAAAAAGAAAAAACCCTCTTGGAACCTTTATATATATATATATAGCCTAAATATAATTTTATATAATATAAAATCTAAACGTATGAACGTAAGAAGCCGGTTAGGTTGCATCAAGCATTCTGAATCTGATCTGCTTTAACCTCTCACGGGTTTTCGTCATATCGCCCATCCCACAAAGCTCAGCTGATGCAACACAACACAGCTCAGTATAAATACAGCCTGCGTGGCAGAGACACACATTTCAACCTCTCGCATTCATGGAAGGAACAAAGAAACACTCATTTGAAGAGTTGGGCGAGCTCTCGGGGAAACACTCGGAGGAAATCACGTTAAAATGGTCTATACGCAAGCTCTCGTGCTCGGTAACGGGATGACCGTCAGAAACGAGCAGGAAAGCGGCCTATCGGAGGACCTGAGCTTCCTACACTGCTTCAGATCCGACAGACACAAGCTCCAACACGGCGGCAGACTCATGAAAGCACACAGCTTATCAAGTAAGAATCTTATCCTACTATTGCGCTCCTCATTTGGAAGTCGCTTTGGATAAAATGTAAATGTAAAACGATCTATTGTGAGGAGAGCGGGGCAGGTTGTCACAGACGCGCTGTCTCCGTTTTGGGTTCCTATGTTGGCTTTAGATAGATAGTCTAGTTTAAAAATGTTAAATTGGGATCTTTTTTGAATGAAAAACGGTTTAGGCAAGTTGTCTCGTGTTTTATATGTTTATATTTAATCAATTATTACAATATATTGGCCACAAATTATTGTCATATAGCCTATTACTATTGTGTGTATACATTCTATATTGATTACATTAAAACGTAATATATTAATTAGATTTTATTGTATAAATCTACAGAAAAGTGGATTAATGTATATCATTTTGATTTTCTTTGTTTACAAAAAAAGTTTTATTTTTAGTTTGAATGGCATAATTCACATCAACCACACAATAGACATGTGACAACTTGCCCCAACCTTATTCATTATCAGTTGACATTTTTGTTACCCTGTCCATTATTTTTTTTTTTACTATATACAATGAACAGAATATTCACATTGACAACTTATATAGCCTATAGTGTACCACCAAAATGTATCTTAATGTTCAAAAGCTTTCCTGTATCAAGACTTTAAGAATCGTCTGCCCTTAGATTTCTCATTAAGGTCAATATTTTATTGATGACATCATGAGCAGGGATGTACATTGTTCCAGTTTTCTGCCCGCTAAAGTCCAACAGCTTAGATCCTCTGATGACACTGTACAGACTGACGGTGTACGTTTCCTTCTGGTCACTCTCAAACCGCTGAGGCGTAACGTTTCTGTCTGATCAGCTGAGCCTGACACGTTCTTCCCATTTACTCATTCACAGGTCTGGGATCTGAGTGCAGTTTGGAAGAGGAGGAAAGAGAAGACTTGTGTCTTCAGCTCGACCTGTCCAAACACATAGAGAAGTGCCTCTATGACGCTAAAGGAGCGAGTCTGCGCTGTCAGGAGCTGCGTCTACCCAGGCACATGACCACACGTGTGGCCGGAGACATCCTGCGCTCATCCACGGATGAGCCGTGTGGGATACGGGGCGCACTGATCCACATGTTCATGGAAAGCAAGGGCACACTACTGAAGCTGGGCACAGTCATTCCCGATCGGAGTCTCACGCCGACCTTCGAGGTGTCGGTGGTCCTGCAGCCTGACCTGGGCGGATGGCCTCCGCTGAAGATCCTGTTCGGGACCGGGAAGACCTTGAGCCTCAGACGGGAATACCGGCTGATCAAACGGAAGCTCTACTCGTCCGCCACTCCTACTGTACTTCAGTTTTATTAAAATTGTGGTATTGAAAGTAAAATAAGGAGAAGGCAATGCCTGAGGTCTCAAGAGGACGAGGGCAACTTTAGGAACTGTTCATTTTGCACATTATTTCTCACCGTTACATCAGTATATTTCAGAGTTTACAGAATGATGTTGAAAACTTAAAGAAGTTGATATTGTGCAACAATTTCTAGCAGCTATGTTGTTATAATATTAAAAGATCATTAATATACATACAAATAAAAAAAAACATGGAACCCGATGCATATACACTAACGTTCAAAAGTTTGTGGTCGGTAAGATTTTTTTGAAAGTCTTGAATGTATAAAAATCTTACTGACCCCAAACTTTTGAACAATCATGTATAATATGGAATTAAATAATGTTGTAAAAGCTCATCAAAGAATAACAAACACTAATTTGTTACTAGTTGTATTTGTCAGGTGACACCGCATGTGTGATGCGATCACAGTGGCATGTTTGTATGACTGTGACCGCAGATTCTTCACTACTGTTTACTGATGTTCAGGGAAATAGGAAGGGTCAGATTGTCCGCTGATATATGTTGACACCATTAATAGTCATTGATGTGTGTGTTTTTTGTGTGACTTTGAAACGAACGGGACAAGCTGGTATTGTCTCCCAGTGAAGCGTTTGTAACAGTATTTTTGTTTGAAAGCACAAGCAAATAAATTATTCTTAAAATAACCCCATGAACATCTTGTTTATTTGCAGACTCTCATGTTTTATTAAAACATTTCACGACACTATACAAAAACACTGTACACAAAGGCTCTGTACAAAACTATGTTCTTAGTAAACATACAGATGTCAAATTAAGTCTCACTTATTTAAGAACGAAACTAGTACAGTAGGCCTTTAAACGGTAAACCAAAGCATCAATGATCTTGACTATGGAAAAAATCAAGTTTAAAGAAACCAAGGATCCTTATTCATTCCTATAGAAGAAAAAATCTTTTTTATTGCTCTTTCCTCAGTCGATCAGCGTTTTACATCATCCCAAAGTGATAAGGCGATAGCAATCTTTGTCTTGAACAATGGCTTGTAAAGTTTCGACATTCTGTTTTCTAACCATCTAGTGGTCACGATGGTGGTACATTCAACTTTTTTAAGAGACCAGTGATGATGGATAACTTTTTGTGACGTCAAAAACTTTAAACCAACTCCTAACTTCAAATAAACATGGTCAGTTTGACCTGTCCCGTGAGTCTACCATCAGAGCACACTGAACCAGTTTTTCAGGTCTAGGACTGAAGGTGAAACTCGAAGCGTAATATGTCTTATTTGGATTTTGGGGTGAAATATGACCCATACAATCCTTTGTGACATTCACCCAGTAGTAACACAAGGGGGACGAGCCCTTAAAGTCTCTTCTTTTCGCGTCCTTTATGTTCAGCTGTAATTAGACTGTGTTGAACTGCTGAATCAAACCACCCAGGCATTGAGTAACTAAACTTAGCCAGAACTTCTTAAAGAAACAGGGAAATAAAGCCTATTGAACTTCCGTGACAGTTGCAGTGAAACCTCTCAGTTCACTTTTTCATCTTCATGTCGGCCTCAATGGCACTGCGGCGACCTCTAGTGCCTCCGTCCTGGAAGAGTAGAGAAGCAGGAAAGATGTGAGCCAATGCCTGTCATCCACTGCCCTAACACACCAGACCATCAGAGCCAAACTAACTAGCTGTTACCTGAGAACTGGAAGCGTGTCTGTGTGTGTGTGTGTGTGTGTGTGTGTTACTAGAACATAAGAGCTTCATCTTTAAGAGACAGTGACTTCAGAAGTGCTGCAACACATAGTTAGGAAATTGCAGACTACAAGCCGAAACAACAGAACAGCTACACAACAGTAAAACAGCATAAAAATTGTTGTTCATAGTAAAGAAATAGTGAATGTGTTAATAGTAAAAGTGAGTTGCTCACTGAAGAGTTGAAGTGTCTTTAAAAGTTTCTTGAGGAGAAATAAAACAGGAAAAAGCAATCTAAAACATTTGAAGGAAAAGTTCACCCAAAATGAAAAAAATGAGCATTATTTATTTATTCATCCTCACGTCATTCCAAATCGGCACACACACACGCAAACGCACGCACACACAACCGTTCTGTCTACCATCTTTTTTAATGCTTACCAAGGCTGCAATTATTTGATCAAAGATACAGTAAAAACCGAAATGTTTCAAAATATTATAACACATTCAAATAGCTGTTTTTAATTGTAATATATTTATAAATGTAATTTATTCCTGTGATGTCACAGCTGAATTGGAACCAACATTAGGGTGAATGAATAATGACAATACTCATTTTTAATGGATTATTCGGCTGAATATATCGGCTCACAACCCTTTTCAGCATACAAACCTGGACGAGTTAACAATGCTGCTCAACAATCATGAAGCGAGGGATCAGATCTAACCAATCAGAGAACAGTGTCAGAGTATGAAAATGTGTGTGTGTTTGTGTTTGGTTAGAGGGGACGGGGAATATCTTGTGATCTTCGGCCTGGATACTTACAAAGAGAGAGAGAAGGAAAGCAGGAGAGGCCATGGAGAGGCTGTCCTGTAGAAGGACAAACAGCACAGTGAGAAAAAGAGAGTTCACTAATTAAAACCTACCGTAGAAACAGACAGAGAGACAGACAGACATGTACAACAGAGCAAAAGCAGGTGTTATGGGAGCATACAGCAGGTATACTAATCTAAAACCCTGATCATGAGACGGAAAACATCAGAGACGTGAAAAGGGACCAGAATGACCAGACGTTTTACGAGTCCCGTATCTAGAGGGAATTCTATTCAGGATGTCATTTGACCCAACAATTAGTTTTAGCAGTAAAGAAAGAGGTGTCATTTTGATCACAAGTTCAGTATGGAGAACCGCAAGGCTCAGTACTAGGACCGTTGCTTTTCCTCCTATACATGCTACCCTTGGGAGATATCATTAGGAAGCATGGCATTAGTTTTGACTGATACGCTGATGATACTCGGCTTGTTATTTCTTCGTGCTCTGACAAAACATACCAATTCACAAAATGATATATAATCACACTGTGTTTGTTCGTTTGAAACTAATCCGTATTATATAAAGCACTATATAAATAAAGGTGACTTGACTTTTAATCTTAGTTTGATTGTGATAAATAAACATGCTTATGCTGATACTAGTGACTCAATCTAGCCTTAAATGACAAGTGTATGGGAAATCTGTTGCTTTCCTTTCACAATATGAAGAGATAAGTTGAACACATCTGTCATGCATGTGCAAAATGATTGACTGCAGTTTTAAGTAGAAATAGATGCTCTCAATTGATTGTTCTGACATTTTTGATCTAATCGCTTATAACAACAAACCTACTCATGATATTAATTATTCATTTTTATTTATTCAGTTTTCTTTTTTACAGACGATTTGGTTCATACTTACTTAATTTTGCAACATCGATGCCACTTACTGAACTGAATTGAATCAACATTGAACTGAATAATTTCTGCTTTACAGCAGAATTTGAATGAGTCTCATTTTTGATGAAGTTTGCATCATTGATCTTTTTTTCTGTTGATTACTGTGAAGCTGCTTTGAAACGATCTGTATTGCATAAAGTGCTTTATAAATAAAGGTGATTTAGCAGACTCGCTTTTGGGAATCTGACAAATCGTTTACATTAAAAACATCTTATGATGAATTCAGGTAAACAAAACCGAATCCACGAATCTGGAGTCTCTCGCATATAAAACGCGTTGAAAAATGGAGCAGTTTTCTATCGTGGTCATCTGGTCACCCGGGAAAGCTTCTTTACATACAGGCAACACACAGATGAGAAAGAAAAGGAGGATTACATGAAATAAAGATGGAAAAAGGAGAATCTAAAACTGGAGATACTAAAGGGAGGATCTGTGGGGTTGATGAGTAACAGAGTTGTGTCCATGTGTGTGTTAGCCGGATGAAGACATGAGGTGTTCATGTAAGTGAGAGTGTGTTGTAACTGTTTCCATGACGACCGCAGCACTCCAACATAAACTCAAAAAGATGGTGATGAAATGAGTGTCCAGTCATTTGAATGATCTTGATCACACAGCTCGGTGTGAAAGCATCACTGAACAAACCATGCAAAAAAACAAAAACAAACAAAAAACTTTCACTTAACTTTGGTCTGGTGTGTTAAAAAAATAAAAATGGCACACAGATTCAACAACAGATGACACCAAAAGGCTGTTTAACCCAACCCTTACACCACATATACAAATAAATTGTTTACAATAATCAAGTTGTATTTACAATATAAGCTCTCACAATAATCACACAAGATGATATACACTATCGTTCCAAAGTTTGGGGTCAGTAAGATTTTTCTAAATAAATTAACACGCATTCAGCAAAAGTAAAGACATTTATAACAATGTTACAAAATATTTCTACTCCAAATAAATGAACTTTATATTCATCAAATAATCCAAACAAAAATATTAAGCGGCACAACAGTTTTCAACATTGATAATAACAAGAAATGTTTCTTGAGCAGCAAATCATCATATTAGACTGATTGCTGAAGGATCATGTGACACTGAAGACTGGAGTAATGATGCTGAAAATTCAGCTTTGCATCACAGGAATAAATTACATTTTAAAATATATAACAATAGAAAACAGTTATTTTAAATAGTAATGAGATTACAGTTTTACTGTATTTTTGAAAAAAAAAAAAAAAAATACAGCCTTATTCTTTCAAAAACGTTTTTACAAATTTGAATTATTCCAAACTTTTGACCGGTAGTGTATATACAGACAGCAGACAGGCAGACGGATAGATAGATAGAACCATAGATTCAGTCGTTTATAGAACAACAAGAGCCACAAATCCAGTGCCGTGTGGAAACCTGGAAGAGAACCTCGGATGCATGCGGCACCGACTCAAGAGTATTTGTGTTAGTAGTGCAGTAGTCATTGCCCTTGATTCTCACCTGTGAGTGTGTGTTTGTGTGTGTACATCACTGACCTTCTCATTAGTGTCTTGTTTGGAGTTGTTCCTTTTCCTTCTGGCAGGTGGTTCTGGCTCTAAATGAGGGTCTTTGTGTGCAGGACTCAGGGTCTACATACGAGACTGTGTGTTAGTGCAAGTAACGCTAACCTTACTGTCAGGGACTTCAGCAGTTCACTTGTGTGTGTGTGTGAGTGAGGGTAAGGGACAAAAAAAATCTGTTGTTTGGGTCTTATAAGAAAGCGTTTCATCTATGTGGAGTGTGTGGAAACCAAATTGCTTCTGAATCAATCTCACGAAAACATATCCGGCCAAATTTTAGCCCAAAATCAACGGTGCAGTGCATTCAGAAAGTATTCAGACTCCTTTTTTTCACATTTCAGTTTTTTCTTATCACAGATCTGGTTATTATGTTGTCATTATGTGGAAATGTAAAGCATTTAACATGCATTTTCCGAATGCACTGTATATTATATTTGACAAAGGGACTAAAAAAAAAAAGTCTGAGACATTTTCATGACAATTAAAAATCTGGTTCTAATTGAATTCTTCTCTTTTTGGGGTAAAATATAACCCAAACAAGTGTTTGCCGGGTTTTGTGAGATTCACCATATTTCAAGTTTATACAGAAAGTATTTGGGCAGTGACACTTTTTCCTGCATTTCAGCATTTTTGGATTTTTAATAAAACTTAGCTCAGGGACAAAGTGCTGAAACGACAATTTGAGCGCAGCCATCCCATTAAGAGCCAGAAAATCAATTTGTGCAGATTAACTGTGAGTATTACAACATCGTCATATGCAGTTCTTGGCCGCAAATCCATTTTGAGTGTACCGACGGCCATTAAGTCTGCAGCCTAAAGACATCATGAGTTATATTTCCTGATGATGCTTCAGTTTGTGCTTTCTCATTCTTTCTCAGCTGGACTGAAATCAGGTCAAGTTGCAGGAACTGTCTGTTTGGTGGCATTGTCAACTGATAGTTGGAGGCAAAAGGTTTTATCCAAGTAAAAAATGATGTTTTCAGGACACACTTGAATTCATGCTGCTTCACCAGATACAGAAATAAGAGCCAACCCCACAGCATCATCATCCTCACAGATAAAGCTCCATGCTGTGGTGCACAGGAAGCTGATTTTCACTTTCCTTTCTTTGACTCTCGCTTTTCCTAAACCATTTCACTGTCCACAACACTTCACTTCAGATGTCCACAGACTCTTTGATGTACTTTGATGCCCTGTCCTTGAGGCGTTTGAAGCTTCTAGCCTTGCTCTCTAAAAAAAATCCCAGTCTTGGATCTTGATTTGTTCTAGTAGAGATACAATTTTTCTTCATAACTGCACATGGTTTTCTCTCAACAGTCTAGTGTTATTGTTGACTAAAACTAAAATTATTAAAAATAACTTTCAAGAATTGAAGATTAGATATTTATGAAATAAAAACGGAAAATTTCAAAATAAAAAAAACAATATAGTATATAAATAATACTAAAATAACCGTCTTCCTGCTTCTTTGAGCTCTCTTTTGTCTCACTGAATGATCTGCTCGAATTTTTTTTATCAGGAAATGACCAGCTATACTGACACGGGCCTTTTTCCTTTTATGTTCCAATGCACCAACAACAAACTAAATAGGAAATACATCAATATAAGTTTGTTAAGCCATTGAAAAACTATTAAATGTCACTGGCCAAATAATTAGCGCTGAAAGCATAGTGTGATTGATGAGTCTCCTTATAGTGCTCACTGTGTGTTTGTGTTGTTATTCCTCCAACCTTCTCCACAGAGTCTTGTTTCCACTCATGTTTTTGTGTGTGTGTGTGTGTGTGTGTGTGTGTGTGTGTGTGTGTGTGTGTGTGTGTGTGTGTGTGTGTGTGTGTGTGTGTGTGTGTGTGTGTGTGTGTGACTATCCATGTGTGTCTCTAACCTTCTCATTGGGGTCTTGTTTGCGGTTGGCTTCCCTTCCACGCAGGCTCTTGGTGCTGATGCCTGATTCTGATGTTTGCATGATCAGCTGAGTAGCCAAGAACTGCTGTATCTGTTCCAGAACATCCCTCTGCATCTCCAGGGCCATGTGGTAGACGTCATGATCCGAGCTGTTATACATCACTGCGTTCTGGAACATCAGCATGATGTCACGCTGGAACTCTGCTGTTGTACGGATCTGCCCAGACTCAATGTTCTTCTTGATGGCTGACAGGTCCATTGGTCTGAGGAGGCGGAGAAATCAGGAAAGACAGAAACCTTATTAGCCAATAGAAAAACTCCTTACTTAGGGCCCTATGAAATGCATTTTATTTTTTTCCAAAAAAGTTCTCAAATTTTATATTTAATTTTTACTGGATTCAACTTTTTTTCCATTTAAATTTTTGCTGGATTCTATTGTGAAATCCATTTTATAAAAAGTTTCCTCAATTATGTTTTTAATTTTTCCATTTTATTTTGTTTTAATAGTATAATTAAATTTAAATAATCAAAAAGCATGTCTAATCAATTGAAATCATAATTTTATAATTTATTATTATTTATTTTAAATAATTCTGGATTCTATAAAACATTTTTGGAATTTTTGGAGGATTCCATTATGAAATTTTTAATTTTTCTCATTTTCCGTGTTTTCCATTAATATTTTTCTGGATTTTGTTTTAATGGTTTAATTAAATTCAAATAATCAAAAGCATGTCTAATCAATTGAATTCATAAAATGTTAACAATTGAATAATTAAAATTTTTACAAAAACAGGGCTCTATGAAATGTTTGAATTTTTTTTCAGAAATTCTGTTAATTCAGTTTTTTTCAGGATTTATGATTTCATACAAATGTATTATTAATTTTCACAGACACTCATCCATGTCACAATTTAATTAATTGTACAGATATTAATTTTGCTTAATTCCTCCAAATTGTGCCACATTCTGTGACATTCGGTGTTATGACTGGATTTCGGAATTCCTTTCAAGTTTTCATAGGCCCTACATACTCAAAAGAATGAGAGATTCTTATATTTAAAGCAGTCTAAGCTTGGTACCTGTGTACAATGCTGTGATAACCAGGGGCGATGTCATCAGACACAGGCTGCAGAAACACACTTGCATACCTAAAACACAAAACGATAAATGATACACACATACTACACAAACACATTTCTATCTAAAGGTCGTTAGTTATCATAAAACAGCAACTGTGTTAAGTAAGAATTCCAAGCTCACCTGTGATTGGCTGCTGCCCGCCACACCAGCATGATGGCTTTCTTCCAGATCTTCTGAGCCTGCAAGGCCTCTTGATCTTCACTACACATTGAGCTGAGAGAGAGAGTGTGAGAGAGAAAATTGTTAAAGGCAGGTGAAGGATAAAAAAGAAAGTAGTGTATGCTAACACCCAAACATGCACTCAGACACTCACAACTGTGATGAGGCAGGGCTGCTGGCAGTGGAGTCTGCAGTAGTGTAGCGCTGGGAGTGACTGCCGTATCCATCCTCACTCTCACTGGCAGGAGGATCAACCTCCGAGAGATACGCACCCTCTCCGTCCACATCGCCACACTCTTTCATCTCCATCCCTTCATCCACATCACTACCTCCATCCTCTTCTTTAACCTCCTACATCACGTGAAAGAGAAAAATAAACCGTAGACGTAATAAACTATTAGTACAGTGTTTCACTGTTTTCTTTCAAAGCAGTTTCAAGAGTTGATGAGGTTTAAAAAAAACATTATTAAAATAAATAATAAAAGAAGATGAAATAGATGATTTGTTTATCTGCATGTTATGTTACCACCATTAACTGACATGAGAACCATGAACATGCAAAGGTGTTGTTAAATTACAACAAAAAGGGTATGAGTGACAAAGTTTGGGATTTGCTGTTTTAAAGGAGTAGTTCTCTCAAAAATTAAAAATCTGTCATTATTTCCTCACCCTAATTCTTTAACTCGCTTTCTTTTACTGATAACAGGAGATTTTTTTTGCGAAATGGCCTATTTATCTCATTACTGCATCGTTTTCAACCAGGTTTGACTTCAAAATTTATTTGAATACCATATTTGAATGGGCCACAAATTCAATTGCGTAAAATATTTGTGAGTTGCAACCAAAGGTACAATTATCAGTGAATAATAACTTACATTTTGGTCTTTTACTCACATAAAACTATCAAATGACTTCATAAGACTTGAAATAGGATGCATGTTTTGTCATTTTTGAGGTCATTCTTGTTTTTCTGTCACCAAATTTAAGACCTCTTGAAATGATAATTAAGACTTTTCTTCTACAATTTAAGATATTTAAGACTTTTAATAGCCTTAAATTTGATCAAACTGAATTTAAGACTTGATGAGCATGAACTATTTTCTCATTTTGTGTTCAACAAAAAAACAAAACAATTTAAGCATCCTTCCTGAATAAAAGTATATATATATATATATATATATATATATATATATATATATATATATATATATATGTATAAAAATAATCTTACTGATCCCAAACTTTCGAAACGGAACTGCTGCTTTGCTGATACCTTTGTGTCTTTCGCCGAGGCTGAGCTGTCCTCTGAGTCCAGACAGGGCGTCACTGTCTCTGGCTGAACCCAGTCCTCCACCTCACACTTCACAGCTGGACTTGGGGATCTGATCTCCTGCTGCATTTCCTCCATCCCTCCTTCTCCCTCTCCTTCCCTCTCTATCTTAACTTCGGAGTCCTGGCTCTGCCCTGCGTCAGGGGCGACGGGCGTCACGGCTTCCCCTGTCACTCCGTCGACCGCTTCGGTCTCTGTAGCCTCCTCTACCAGAACCTCCATTTCTCCCTGCACATCGGCAGGGTCAGGGGCGCTCTGTGTGACCGCTGGGGCGGTGCTCTGCTGGACAATGGGCTCTGGTTCATCTGCCTTAAAAGACTGTGACTCCCAGGGGCTGGTGAGGGGGTGTCCCCCGACCGCTGGATCCTCACAGAGGGAGAGAGCCGCCTCCACTGCAGCTGCGTCCAGAGCCTCCACAGGGTCGTCCACCTGAGACAGAGCGATTTGATAACTTTGTCTCAGATTTGGCAATAGAAAGAAAGAGCTTTTCAACTATTCTCTATTTGAAGAGTTTATGAAAAATGTTTAGCACTGAAAGCACTTGGTGAGTTGGAGAGCTCTTGTAATTTGTTACATTTATAAGTTTAAATAATAAACGTAACATTCCCAACCTTCATGTGACTTTTGCATTGTTTCTGTTGTGTTACTCAATACACTTACACTTTTACACACATTTACTGTTTTTAATTAAACATTATAAGAATTAGAAGTCACATTTTGTTTATACACGTTCTGCATTTGCAGTTAACCATAAAGGAGATGGTTTGTTTTCTCTGGGAAAACCAGAGAAACCTTGACCTTGTTAGAGAATAATATTTAGTAAATAAAGGAGGTAAATTATGTTTTTTTGCTGAAACAAAGCACTTGCGTCGCTTCATAAAATTGAGATTAAACCACTGGAGTCCCATGGATTACTTTAAAATGTCTTTACTCGCTTTCTGGGGCTTGAAAGAGGTAGTTGCGTAGACTGTCAATGGAGGGACAGAAAGCTCTCAGATTTCATTAAAAAGATCTTTTTTTGTGTTCCGAAGATGAACGAATGTCTTACGGGTTTGGAACGACATGTGGGTGAGTAATTACTGACAGAATGTTCCTTTTTGGGTGAACTAACCATTTAATAATTTACTCAAAATACTGGAATGGTCTCAATTATATTACTATAAACTTTCTTTCTTTCTTTTTTTTGGAAATTGTCAGCTTGTTTATTACAACCATTTATAGCAGTTAATAAGGACAGGGGATTTGCATTAAAACCACATGAAGTAGCAACCAATCACATCATCACAACCGTACACAGGTGGTTGTATATGTATTTGTGTGTGCATACCTTCTCCTCTATGATTGCAATGATGTCTCCAACAGTCTCCAGGTCCAGTTCGTGGGCCATGTATGACACTGACACCACTGTGTCCTCCTCCACCAGCTCTGTCTCTTTCCCCTCCACCTCCGCTGGCGTGGACGAACCTGCCATTACCGCCTCTGCTCCAGAACCTTCAGCGACAGCTGCGGCTCCTACACGTGCCAACAAACACACTCACTCTTACTATGGTTCATCTCTTTTATGGAGTGCTCTGAAGAAGAAGTAATTATTCTTTTTAAGAAGAAAAACCACATCAATGTTTTTAAATGCTGAATTTGGCCTTCGGAAAAAAAATAAAATAAAAAAAAGTATACTTTTATTCGGCAAAGACATATTAAATGGATCAAAAGTGACAGTAAAGCCATTTATAACATTACAAAACATTTCTATTTCAAATAAATGCTGTTCTCTTGAATTTTTTATTCATCACAGAATGCATCGTGGTTTGGTTTCCACAAAATTATTAAGCAGCACTACTGTTTTCAACATTGATAATTATAAGAAATTTCTAAAGAGTAATATATCACTTAAGACTGAAGTAATGATGCAAAAAAAAAAAAAACAGCTTTGCATCACAAGAATAAATTATATTTTATAATGTATTAAATAATTGAAAAAAAGTTGTTTTAATTAGGGATGCACCGAATCCAGGATTCGGATTCGGCCGAATATTGGGATTTTTAACGGGGTTCGGTTTCTGCCGAACCTCAGAATTTTTTTCCACCGAACCGAACCCTAGGCTTGCACTACGCGCGCTACGTCGAAGTCACCGATCAGTGAATGACATCAAAGTACGGCGTGAACGAATAGAGAGCAGACGGCTCCTTATGCTTTTGAATTGCTCTCGCGGGACTTTGATGTCATAAACTCATCTGTCTGTGCAGCGCCGGTTCAAGTCGAACAAGCCTGTAGTAGTGTAACGCGTTGTGTCAGGAAGAAAAATAGGGATAGCTCACAGCTAAAGTTATTGCAGAGGCCAGACAGACTCACGGAGGCGATTGGCATCTCACAACTCGCACTTTATTCCACAATCGAACTTGTGTAACTGTCTGTCACACGTTCTACCGTCCACAGCGTTACTTAACAAAATAAGGTAAAAATGAGCATCAAACAGAAATAACCCGCATACATGGGCATGTGTTCGAGGCGCATGGCACATACGGCGCGCAGTTCTTAAAGGGGCCACACCTTATTTCCACTCGTTACAGAAGGTGGACCGTTCGAATGCAGTAGGGTGTGAGAAAGTGAAAATGGAACTCGTGAGCAGAAAAAGTGTTGTTTGGCAGTACTTTCAGTGAAAGAAGGCAATTCAAGTCGAGCTACATGTTCAATTTGCAATGCCGATTTGTCTCATGGTGGCAAGGACTCTAAATAGGCTACACAACATCGCCGCTGTTAAAATGCATAATGTTGCTTATTCTTTTTTTTTTTTTTACAGTTATAAAAGTAAAAGTAGTGTTTATTATTTACAGTAATAAAATAAAATGAAAAATCCACTTTGTTTACTTCATTAATGTGTTTACTGTGTTAATGGACTGAGGATGAGAGTAGGATTCGGTATTCGGTTTCGGATTCGGCAGAATCTTAACCAGTGGATTCGGTATTCGGCCGAACCCCACAAATCTGGATTCGGTGCATCCCTAGTTTTAATTGTAATAATATTTCACTTTTTAGGGTACACCTGGAATTCAAAAATAAATGTATAAAAGTCTTCTTTATAAAAATACTTCTGACGTTCTATATTAGACCTGTCGTTCTAGAACAAATCTGCAGTATTTCCTGTTATTCTAGAATATAATAAGAGAAGTCCAGCACTGTCTGAGTGAATTGTGATTGGATGAGGATGATAGGATGAACTACACATCACATGACACAAACAGGAAACATATTGGCTGAGCAAAAAAAGACTGACTGTCCTACAGAGGAAGAGAGGAAATCAGAGAGATCAGAGACCTGTTTTAGGCACAGAGAGGTGGCCCGGGGTTGGCGGGACCACTTTGGGGGACTTAGGGGGATCAGCACTGACAGGTTTCTGCGCTGGGGTGGAGCTCTCCAGCAGACGAGATAATGTAGGAGCATCTGACACAGAGACACACACACATATAGCGCTACAAACACGCACACTAAAGCCAAAGCTACTTTCACAATACTCAAACTACACAGTAATAATGCAATACAACAGGCGTGAAATCTAAAAGTTGCATACAGGACGCAGTCAAAATAACTTAAAATTCAGTTTGTTCACTGACACAGAAAATGTTAAACGTTGAAGAGGGACATTTAAAGCAAGCAGATAGAAGTGTGTTTTCGTGTGTACCTGCTGTGATGTCTTGATTCATAGGCAGAGCGGTTGCAGAGGTGTGAAGCTCGACATGAGATCCATTACTCAAACCTGTGGCCACATCGCCTTCAACCACCTGCCCGACAAACCCACACACAGAACAATATGACAAACCATTCACAAAATCTACAGGCACATTCCCCACTTTTAATGTGAGTCAAGGTTTCATAGATTAGTTAATATGAAAATATTAAAAACGTTAACAAATTGTTAAAAACATTTTTGTTATTTGAAATAAAGCTGAAATAAAATACAAATATTAGATGAAAAACTAGAAATGCTGTCTAGGCAAATAACTGAAATAAGCTTATGTTGAAGCACAAAAATAACTAACTGAAAAAAAAAAAGTAGTAATTATTTGTACAGAAGCATAATATAAATTATGAACGCACATAACAGAATTACTAAACATTAAACTACAACTAAAATTAAAACTGAAATTAACAAAAATAGCTCATTAAAAATAATAAAAACTACAATAGTGTATAAATAATACTAAAATAACACTGTGACAGTTTCCACTGTATTAAAAGGGTAATTCACCATTGGCAAGATGGCCTTTTAATAAAACCTGGCAGTCTATGCAGTAGAAAAATGCAACGTTTTAAGATGTGTTTTTAAAAGTTGTACTTCTTTTAACTGCACAGGATTCTAAAACACATGCTGTTCATGTGTGAGATGCAGCAAAAGATGCAAGATGCAATGGTCAAAGAAGTCAGTCTGGTGCATGTTATAGATATGTGTATATATATTTTTAAATATGTATAGTTAACATAGAAAAGCAATAGAAAAGCGGAACAGCACAGCAGAATGCAAATTCATGCTCTGTGTGAACGGCCCCAAAGATTTTTATTTATACATTTACTGGCTAACATTATTGGATGTGAAATGAGTACTAAAACAATGCCCTTGTCAATGTGCCAAATACTCAATGTAAAGCTGTTAAATGTTAATGTTTGCAGTTTAGTTAGTATAAATAGGCTGGTTGGACTGAAGAGGAACCTTTCCTTTGTGAACGTTAGAGTATGTTGATTACCATGGAATCTTTCTTGACTTTATTTATAAGACAATATGAATTAGACATAAAAGTAGGGTTGAGAACTAGAAAATGGGCCTGGGACATGAAAGAAGCAAGCCTGTTTGCTGTGACATGCCTCTTAAATCTTAAATCCAAAGGCTTAAACTTTGAGTGCCCCTCTCTCACCAGTCTAGAGCTGGCAGCGATGAGGCTGCCCTTCTTCAGCAGTTCAGACAGCAGCGGGGAGGGAGGGGGTGTGGCTTTCGGAGCGAGGTGTTTCTTCTGTGGGGAGTCGTCCACCAGAGCGCCCAAACCTGACTCTTTAGGCCCTGAACCCGTGACCTCTGACACAGGCATGAAGACGGTCACTCCTTGAGTCTAGACACACAAAAAAAATAAAGCAGGATTTTGACCACTTAAAGTCAGATTCAAGTTAAAAGGTTAATAAAAAAGAAGCAGGAACTCACCATGGAACCGGCACAGGATTCCTCCGTCATTGGCTGCGATGTGTCTGGCTGAGAGACTTCCATGCTGGGAGAGCTAGCACCGGGTGGAGAACGTACCGTCACGCTGGGGACTCTCTTTGGTGTGTTTTTAGCTGCCTGACGAACTGGAGAGAAAGAGAAATAAAAATAATTATGCAAAATAAACAATATTTCACAGGCAGCAATAACCCAAAGTAATAAAAACGGAACTTTCGTAGTATGAAAAACGTAATATATCTGCAATAAGCTACATGTTAAACTAATATTATTTGAAAATACATTAGCAATATGTTGAACTGCTAAACTAATATAATTCAAAATAACTTTTTTGTGTGAAGGCATTAACTTTTAAAAGTGCTGAGTGGATGTAAATCTCACCCTGATAGGCCGCCTCAGTTGCCCTCTTCTTCTGCTCCGCCTCCTCCTCTTCCTGCTTCTTTTTCCTGACAAACATGAGAACACACACAATCCCATGATCCCACACACAATGTATATGTATTAAATTTTGATGTTTGAATTAGATTATGGGTAACAAAATGCTTTCTCTATGTGCTGTCAAATCTATTAATATCTAACGTTCTAAAGTATGTGTGTGAGTAAACGTGTATGTATGTATATATATATATTAATATTTATACACATATTATATAAACAAAATCGTTAATATTAGATGCGATTAATTGCGATTAATCGATTTGACAGCATTAAACCAACATAACTTCAAATCAACATTGACAAAAAGTAGCCATTGACAATGTCCAAAAAAATAAATAAATATGTATGTATAATATATAAAAATGTACAAATATATAATATATAAACCTAATAAATTTTTTTATCTTAATATATAGACATAAATGGTGCATAATTTAGAGGTGAATATTGTTCAATTACATGAAAAACTCAAAATAGCATTGGAAAATATTGTAGAAATGAAATATAGTGCATTCATTTCCTAAAAATAATCTTTAAACAATCATGGGGCTCTGATAATTTCTGAACATCTCTGATATCTGTTTATTAAATTACATTTCAACAAGAGTGGTTGAAACTAGATCATACTGGAAGACATTTCAGAAAATGAAAGGCTAATTCTTAGCATAAAGAGGATGAGATGACAGCACAAATGTGGAAACAGTGCAGAATTGTCTTACAGCTCTATCTCTGCCCACAGCTCCTCCAGTTTAGTGTCCATATGACCTGCCTGGATTAAATCCACCTCTTTCTTCAGTTTCCTGAAGGTACAGAATACATTTATCACATGTGAGTGGCAGATATAGACAGTGAGAGGGAGAAGGAGGTGGAGACGTACCTGTACTTCTCCTGCGTGTCTTTGATCAGCCTCTTGAGTTCCTCGATTCTTTCTGCTGTCAATCTACGGACGATCACGTCCTCAATGGTCTCAACCACCTCCCCTTTCTCACCACGCTTACGTCTGCAGGGAGAGCACGTGCCAAACTTGCCAATGAACTTGTGAATGATGTGAATTAGATGGTTTTGGTTGCTAATGATACTGGCTAACATAATAGTGTGAAGTCTAATTACACAAAGTCTGTGAAAAGTCATAAAATCATTCTCCACGTATTTACTGCTTTCCATGCACAAATATAAAGTACATCTTCTTTGCTGATCATTCTTTTTCATTGTGTACACAGACCAGATGATTTGAGGACTTTAACTCTTGGGTTTTGCAAGAACAATGGCAAGATTGAATAAAGATGCTCAGCGCACATGTTTTGAGAAAGAGAGAGAGAATCACTTACTTTGGGGCCTCTGTGGTTTCCAGCAGCTCAGAATATTGGGAGGCACAATGCTGCAGAGGTCATATTGACATGTTAAAACATAATTCATTCAGCAGATCACTAATACTGATATAATCAATAATATGAATTACCTTCTGGGAGAACCAGTCAGGGGGTCGTCCAGACTCTGAGAAGGGCTTGATGGCTCTGCTTACAGACACCCTGACAAAAATATAACAGTGTATCGGACACATTCAACAGTAAAACATTATCCTCATCCTTCGCTCGGGTCATTTTGAGCCAGAAACTCAAAACTTTTTTTTTTGTGTGTGTTCATCAGAGCGGTCCAAGACCCTAGGACTTTTTTCGCGCTTGAACCACGAATACACAAATTTGAATGGATTCGAGGAGCTTTAAAAAAAAATAACAAATCCTTTCAACTTGATGTAAGGAAGGCTTCAGTACACATAGAAAAATCTAAAAATGCTCAAAATTCAAAGTAAAAATGCTAAACCTTTACCAAAAAAGTATTTTATAATGTGTAACGTTGACTCACGGTGTTCCGGACGGCTGAAAATTTCTACTCACTGTGTTTCGGAAAGGTAGAAGGAGTCATTTCTAATATATAACGCATACATTTTAACAACTATAAGCTGGGTTGGTCGGAAGCGAAAGAGGATGAGGCAAAGATGACACGGATATATATAGATGCAATGACCGTGAAGTGTTTATTTATAGAATTTGCGGGAAACGGTCAAGTGTCCGAAATACCGTGATGTCCGGAATACAGTGAGTCTACGTTACATGTGTATCTGAATGCACACGGAAGAGAAATGACTTTAGTACCCAGTTGAACAGCTCATTTGCTCCATATAGAGCTATAAGGCCATCTAGTGGCTAAAGTCATGAAATATCATGACATCACATATCAAGCATCACTTTGTTTCCACAAGAGGTCCACAAAGTAAGATATTTTGAGCTGAATTAAAAGGGTTATGCATGAAATTGAGAGTTATTTTGAATTTAAGTTGAAAGAATGTGAAGAATGTGCCTATTTATTATTTATTGATCAAATCTAGTAATTTAAAGGTAAATAAATAAATAAATAACATAAAATCTCAACAAAAAAAACCTGCATTAAAAAATAGGAAAAATATTATCAAAATAAAATAAGCTTTCTGGAGAAAAAAATATTAAGTATAATTTTAGGACGTCGGGTCATTTTGACCCGCGAGGGAAAAATGTGTTACAAAGTGTAACACCGCATTGAAAAACTAAGATTTAAAATCTACACAACATTTTAGTATTTTACAAAACATAAACAACATCAGAATGTGAAGTGAAAATGAAATATTTAACATTCTGCATTATGTACAGGTCAATAATCAAATAGGCAAATCCATGACATTGACCATGTGAACTCTTTTCATTTTTTTCCCAAGCACACAATTCTCTTTGGAACATTTTTATTTAATTTTATCTGAGAATATTTTATTGAAAAATATATACACACATATATTATGTAACAAAAACTTATGTTAGAAGCGATTAGTCACGATTAATCTATTTGACAGCACTAATATATACACTACCGTTCAAAAGTTTGGGGTCGGTACGATTTTAAATACTTTTAAAAGAATTCTCTTCTGCTAACCATGGCTGCGCTTATTTGATTAAAAATACAACAAAAATCAGTTATAGTATTAAATATTATTCCAGTGTAAATCAGCTGTTTTCTGTGTGAATATATAGTAAAGTGTAATTTATTCCTGTGATCAAAGCTGAATTTTCAGCATCACCAGTGTCAGTGTCTTCAGTGTCAAATGATCCTTCACAAATCAGTATAATATGAGGATTTGATGCTCAAGAAACATTTATTATTATTATCAATGTTGAAACAGTTGTTGGTCTGTCAGTTGTACAGTTTTTTTTTTTTTTTTGATTCTTTGATGAATAGGAAGTTCAAAAGACTTTTGTAACATTAAATGTCTTTACTGTCACTTTCGATCAAATTAATTATTCCTTGATAAATAAAAGTATTGATTTCTTTCCTCCAAAAAATAAAAATAAAATTCTCACTGACCCCAAACTTTTGAACGGTAGTGTATATATGCATATTTCTCAGCACATAAACTACAAATGATCTGTTAAGCAATGTTCACTGATTACTTCTTTATTAACAAAAAGTCATATTAGAAATTGCAGTTAAGAAAATTATTAATTATTAAAACATTATCAATTCAATCAGAAATGATGATATATAGGCATTTTATTATTAGAAATACAACTATTGCAATAATCATATTAATAAAGCCCTTTAAAATGAAAATGTGTTTGAGATTTTATAAGCTAATCATAATGCAAAATAAACACTATTTAACCCAAAATAATAAAAAAGGAGATTCCCTAATATTAAAATGTGCAATAAGCTACATTGCTTATGTTAAACTAATATATATTGTTAAAACATTATCAATTAAGTTATAAATGATCATATACAATTTATTATTTGAAATTAGGAAAAATATTAGTAATTTATTTTAAGTGATTCTATTTCACAAATATATAAATGTGTAATTTAATACAAATAACACAAAGTAAATGAGATTATTTTGGGTGCCTCCCCAGATGCCCCGGTCAGGCCAGCTGTCACCCCCATGTCCCTCAGCGGGGGATTAGCTCAGATGGTAGAGCGCTCGCTTAGCATGCGAGAGGTAGCGGGATCGATGCCCGCATCCTCCAATCTATTCTATTACATGGCCTAATCATAACAATGAACAAAACTGTCATATAATCATTTCTAAAACTCAAAGCCCCACGTTTGATTAAGGGTGATCAGCCGCAATACAAACACTGCTACAGGATAAAGCTCTGCATTATTTAAGACGCTTTAATTCTACAGTTCTATGATCCTGTGTGTTAATTATTTATTCTTACCAGTTCTGATCTCCGCTTCTCATCACTGAGGAGGCGAGACAGAGTTTCTCCCGAATAGACCAGGGTTCCGTCGGACCCAGCGACAGCATCTTGTGTTCTACAGGGACAGTTAGGGGTTCAAATGATGAGTTTCATTTAGCTGTAGTTCAATTTATAACAAAAGTGAAGGGGAAATTTTTATTTACAATAAAAAATAATGTAGTGTGACCTTAGTGACTTATTTAAAACGACACGAGCCATTTATTATTACATATAGAGCACGTAAAATAGTACATTTTGTTCAAAAATAGAGAGAAGTGTGTGTTGAAAATGTAAACATATATCGTCTTTGTTTTCATGAAGCCAACTAGCGCAACCACTATATTGCTCACCCCGGCGTTATTAAGAGCTTTAGATGCTCTTCTCACGTATGATCAAATACTTCAGAATTCAATTTACAAAGTGGTTTTGGTTTCAGACTGTAATGTTAATCTATTTATGAAATAAATTACACTTACTTCCCACCCCGCTCGACATTTTCGCCTATGCGAAACAGGCCGCGCGCTCGTTCTACTCACTTCCGCCGGTACTATTGTAGTGTAACACCCATGAACGCTATCAGGTGTCACACAAATATCATTCCGTCACTGGACTGTTTAACAGGGGGATTAGCTCAGATGGTAGAGCGCTCGCTTAGCATGCGAGAGGTAGCGGGATCGATGCCCGCATCCTCCAATTATTTATTTCATTTAATAAAAAGTGTAATTAAAACAGTACGTAGCATAATAGTTGCTGTTCCTTATAGTTCAAATTCATTAGACATTTATGGAGATAGGAACCGTGAAAAATTTAGAGATTTATGAAGGACCCATTATGCAAGGGTTTGTTATTAGCCTAACGTTACCTCTCTCTGGCAGAGAGCTCTGATTTTACAGTTATTTTTTGTTGTCGCTCTACAGAAAAGCTTCGAAGGTACATGGCCATGGAAATGTAGAACCATGCAGCAATAGACACTCCAGAGGGAATGGCATTGAAAACAACAGCATTGCGGTTATAGAAATGTTATATTTCAGTTAAAAAAAAATCTAAATAGTTAAGCTATAAAATCTGCCCTGTGAGTTAAAAGCTAACTAAAACAAGATTATTTTTGAACCAGTTGTAAAATAAATGTGATTTATTTATGTAGAGAATCCTTATTGTTCCATGTGTAATATCGGTGGGGAGAAAAGTTGTGTTCGTATTAGAGATCAGGCGCTTTTGGTTATGAAAATGAATCCTCAATCTCCCCAGGTTGTCCGGTCAGAACAATAATGAGGACGACTCTTATGACACTCTTTAATGCCACAGTTTGATATCGATGGGAGTTTTGTTCATGGTTAAAAAAAAAAAAATGGACTCATGAATAATCATTATTCATACACAATTGTAACAAGCAATTATATTATGAAAAGAAGATTTCTAAATCACTACAATGAATATAATATAACAATAAACGTTATGTCTCAAAAGTGCAAAATACTACTGGTAGCTACATATACAAATGGCAAATACAATACTGTCTTGAATTGCACAGACATAGATGATTAAACTGCCTGGATGGCTGAAAACCACCAAAAAGAATAAACTCAGTGCTATAACATTTGGCCGAGAAGGGGTTAAATCGCGCCACATCCGAAAACATGCAGAGATCGCATGCTGGTGTCACGTTATCACAGTTAAAGCCTACGATGCGCACAGCCAAAAACACGGTGAAATCGCTCTAAAACACCATCAAAGAAGTGAAACTATTATGTAGCCTAAATTTGGTTTGGTTATTTAGCTCCAGGAATGCATACATCGGTAGGCAAAGTAAAATGTAAGGAGAATAGTACACATACTACATTAATCTAAGCAAGTAACAGACAACAATATTTACTTAGACTCACATTCTCATGGCCGCATGAAGCAGAACTGAAGAATAAAGATATTTCCCTCTAGAATATACCGGATCGGAGATGGAGCGAGTGTCTCCGATGAAAGTTACGTGCCTAATGACAATAGTTAGGGATTACGCTAGTGGAGACTATCTGATTGGTGGAGAAAAATAGGGGGATTGCTGATTGGTCTAACTGTTGCTGGGCACGTGAAAAGTGGAAAGTGACACTACAGTAAACTAGATAATAACTTATTTATTATAACACAAACACAAGATAAAGTCAGAACCTTATTAACATATCGAAGGACATTACATGTAGTCACGCAATGCTGACGTTGTTAACATTAACAATTTGAGAACAAAGTATAATTTGCACGGTTTTGCGTGATGATTAAGCGATTTTTAGATTTAATCAGCAGCGCGATTTACTGCAATGTCAGAACCAGAACAAAAGGGGATGTTACTTACTTGTTCAGATTACATTTTCCGGTGAAAATTATTATGTTGGTCATACTTCCAAAAAGAATAATCTGTGATTCTGAATGCCAGTATCGACACCGGCGCGGTGATTGACAGCTGCACACTCTGCTCAAACATTGTGTTCATCCGCGGTGTCGAACTACAATTCATGTAAAGTTGATAATTCCGCGAATAACTGCAATTGCAGATTTCGAACAGAGATGGCGACAAAGAGGAAAAACTGCGGACTGCAGCTTTAAAGAACGGATTTTAAATTCTGAATAAGAATGCATGTACATATTCAACCATAAGTATACAACATAACAAATAAATTTACGTATTATAAATAAATGGATTTTGTTAACTCTGCATCGAAAATAAAAAAAGACAAAAAACAAACAAATTTTAAGTCGAGATCTATAGTTACAAAACAAAAAATGCACTGTCTCGTAGGGCTTCCGTAGTTAGGCCTATGTGGCGGTGGTGGAAGAAAACACGAAAAACATGAAAATCAAGGTAAAAATAATAACTCATGACCTGCATATTTTTATTGTTTCGTTTACAAGTGGGTTTGTCAAAAATATGCAAAACATTGAAGTATTCAAGCGTATGTATTTAGGATTAGCCTACACGAGCCGGTCATTTTATTCCCCAAATGTTTAAAATGTTTAACATACAACATGAACGCATGCACGAGGCACCCATAATGCATAATGTGAGATGGTTGCGGAAATGTTCTTGACTTGAGGAATTACTATCATGCTTATGAAATGTTGACGAATTGTGAGGGTGTGGAAAATGTTTTTTATTCGTTTATTTTCTGAAACACCACAGGGCCAAAATTGCCCTAAAGGGAATCGCTTAATAAAGTGCCTTTATTTTAAACATACAGTTTTCCTAATTTCCATTGTTTTTCCACGGTTCCACAACGCCTATTACATTTATATTTATGATTAGCCTATTTGACGTGGGTGCAATTAGTTAAATGCCATAAAATACGTATGACATGTCACTGTATAGCGCTCAAAATAATACTGTAGTTTCATTTTCAGCCGCCAGGTGACAACAGCACACTACAATACGCAGATCATTTATAATTCACATTTATCTAGGGCCCTGAAGATGCCTGCCTCAAAAATCCCCATTTATGACATACTCATGCATCTTATTGTAAAGATGTTTTATTAAATTATATTTATATAAGTAGCCTATTTTCACAGTCACCTCTTGTTATACCTATTGAAATATAGCACGTCTCCCACCTGTTATGGAATCTTTTTCATATTTAGGATCCCAAAGGAGAAATCATTATTACAAGCAATATGGGGAGGCTGTCAGAGCTATTACTCTTCTTAAGTGATGTGAACATTAGCAATATTTACATTTAAATCTGCAACGCCATCAAAAAACGATCATTCAGAAATGATCAAGCCACAGGATGATCCACCAATAGTTTAAGCAGGCATACTTGTCTGAGAAAATGTGCTTATTTGTCAGGATGAGCTACAGTTAACATTACAATGTCAGCAGAATATACTTATCAGGATGTACCGTAGTAAATGTGCCCTTTTCAGGCAGAAATTACCTGTAACCTTAATACTAGGCCTAAGCTGGCAAGTACTGCAGAGCAATGATTGCAGTGGCAATTATATTTTAACTGTTTATGAAATGAGAATGATATTTTCAATGAACAACATTGTTTTTCTAACGATTTTGCCTATTATTGTGGTCTCGATCTCATGAGAAAATGTTAACATTTTACGAAGTGATTTGGTATAAATTTATACGATGTGTTTGGAAACTTATGATTTTTATAAAAAACATAAGCATGAAGGTCCACCCCTAAACCTAACCATTTAGTCACAAATTGGCTAAAACGTAAAATAGTTACGAGTTGTCATAAGAGTTGGGTTTTCAAACCCATTGCGCATGCGCACAGAGCCTGGATGACATCCTGCATATGGTTCTTTTATTCATGACACCTGCCAAATACGCCAATCAGAGAGTAATTGTTCAAAACAATCCTGAATTTCAGATCTAGCCAAATGATGACTAATTAATATGAATCCCTGAATAGCAGAATTTTCACAGTTTGCGCTACTGAGCTGTACGTTTATTCATCAGCAGTATCAGACCAACAGATCCATGCTGAATTTCTGAACACTCCACCGGAGAACCTGCTCTGCCTGTGTTCTACAGCAAATATTAATGAACGCATCGGCATAATACGATGTCCTCAGGCGTCTCCACGGTTATAACACCATTCACTTGAATCAATATCTCTGTTGCATTTAATTGATGAGCTCATCTTATTCAGTGAAGGGCTGAGGAACGCCCGGGGCGAAAGAAGAATGTGAGGTGAATGTGTGTGAGGGTAAGTGGCTGGGTTTCGTTGGGGAGAACCTCACTGATGTATGCTGCCTGTAATCACATTGATGTGTCGGTCAGACAGGACCACAGCGGACCTGGGCGCCCAGCCTTGTGGTGTGGGTTAAGTTTGTTGCATTCACTTCTCTTGCCCGCAGGGGGTTTGAGGAAGAGCTACACAACAACAGCTGTTGCTAGAGAGAGAGAGAGAGAGAGAAAGGGAGGTCATATCGAGACCAAAAGAGAGGAGTGACAGATTAAGAAATGGGATGTTGGAGACCCTGAGCTCAGAGGCGTAAACACAAGACCTGTTTTCAGTAGCTAATGAAACTATACGGTTGGATATTGACCCATTTTTCCCTTTCAGTGCAGCAATACAATTGAATTGGACTTTAAAACTCTCACATTCTAAGGTGACCAGATTTCTGAAATGAAAACCAGGGACATTTCTAGTTCAGCGATCTATTTTACATTTCTAATGATATATTAATTTAAATAATTGGAGGGGGAACAATCCTGGTTTTGTGTATTTTGACCATGGTAAATGGAGTACTGTAAGCATTTATGGTAAATCATACTCTAATATACTATTGCAAAGACATCAAAGCCAATGATGGGAAATGAAAATCGGATATTTCAAACAGTTCGTTTCAAAGAACCGGTTAAAAAAAAATGTTTACGTCATGACATACAAGACATTACATACTATAGGCTGTTTGGAGTAATATTTAGTGCTGTCAAATCAATTCATCACGATTAATTGCATCTACATATACATATAGCCTACATATATTATGTAAACAAAATGTTTATGTTAGATGTGATTAATTGCGATTAATCGATTTGACAGCACT